GGTGTTATACGCAAACAATGAATCATGGAACACTACATCAAAAACTAATGATGTAATGTATGGTGATTAACATAACAATAAAAATTTTTTAAAAAAAATAAACAAATTTGCTGAAATGCAGTATAAATCTTTATTTACTCCCCTACTTGAATATAAGGTCCAAAATGAGAGCGCTTTTTCTTTCTTGTTCACTGCTGTATTCCTAGTACCTAAAACAGTGCCTGGGACAGAAGAGGTGCTCAATCAATGTTTGCTGAGTTAAAGAATTGGTGGAATTTCAAGCAGAATGACAAAATGAAGAATAGAATCTAGGCAGATACCCCTAAAAGAGTAGCTGTAAGTCATTCACATCTTAGTCTGAATTGGTCAAATTCAACTGTTTCTCCTTCTCACTCCTGCTACTAGTGGAATCAGTTTATTGAGAGAATAGGATTTATAACTTGGAATAAGCCAAGGACAGAAGAGTAGATTTCTGAAGGATGGCACCTGTGAGATAAGGGACATAGCTGGGATGGTGATACGGAAGGCTTGAGTAGTTAAAGATAGGATGAAAATATTCAGAGGCAAGGGTGGAATAAAAAGCATTAAAAGGTGGGAGATATGAAGTCAGGTTGTCCTTGCTTTGAAATTTTGCACAGTGCAGGTTTGGATTTCTAGATATGTCCCACTGCAGAAAAAACATGAAATAGTTGAGAGGATTTTAGTGCAATATTTTCTTCTTGGCCTCTTTCGAGTGTTCATTATAAGTTTTTTTTCAGGCCTTGTAATTACATTTAAAGATTCTCATCATAGTAACTTTTTTCCACTTGGCTTTATAGGACTGTGGGTTATAAGTAAAGGTATTAAACTTCTAAATTCCATGCTGCATTTCCACACTAACCAATCAGTCATTTTTCTGGTTATCAGAAGACTATTTCATTTAGAACTGCCAAGACCCATGATGTCTGGATGTTCAATTATTGAATAAAGCATTTTTCTTTTTGCACTTTCCATAATTAGGTCACTCGAGAAAGATGAAGATATTTAGCATCTTTGCATTCATGGCCTACTGCCATTTGCTGAAAGGTAAGACACCAGATCCTTTCATTAGGTTCTATATTTTAAATATTTTAACCATAAGTTAAAAACTACAATAATTATTTAAGATGGATGTAACTTTTTTTGTAGAGAAAACATTCTGTTTTTTCTTCTGTATCTCATAAACCTATTTCATTGGACAAAGATACAGGGAATATGGTCAAACTGAAAGAAAGAAAATTAACCCATTATCTACTTGTCCATTACCTGTTATCCATTTCCCAGGGATAATTACTGAAACTATCTGTAAATTTTTTGAGGAGTTTCCCATCTTCTGAAAATTGGTCATCTTTCTCTTCAGCATTTACGATCACAGTTTCCAAGGACCTGTATGTGGTGGAGTACGGCGGCAATGTGACCATGGAGTGCAAATTCCCGATAGAAAAGCAGTTAAACCTGCTTGCACTAATTGTTTACTGGGAAATGGAGGATAAGAAAATTATTCAGTTTGTGAACGGGAAAGAAGACCTGCAAGTTCAGCACAGCAGCTACAGCCGGAGGGCCCAGCTGCTGAAGGACCAGCTCTTCTTGGGGAAGGCTGCGCTTCAGATCACAGACGTGAAGTTGCAGGATGCCGGGGTTTACTGCTGCTTGATCGGCTACGGCGGTGCTGACTACAAGCGGATTACTTTGAAAGTTCATGGTAAGAGTACATACAGGGGAAGAGGCCCAGTCTTTATGAAAACCATAACCCAGTGCTGAGCACTTTTCCTTCTTGGAAGTCCACCTTGCTCTCCACAGTGGCAATCTGCACATTCATTCATTCATACACCCCTCCAATGAGCATTTCTCAAACACTTCCTCTTTGGTAGTCCCTGGAGATCCAGAGCTGGACATGGTAGGACCATATTCCACAGTATGTTCGGTTCTCCTAAAAATAAATTCCTAGTCTTTACTTTTTTATTCTTATGAAAGTGATACATGTACTTGCAAATCATTCAGACACTATGGAAGGGAATAACATGAATTACAAAAGTGTCCTTCCCCCTTCACTGCCGCCCTCCATGGCATGTCAAGATAGTAGCCATTGTTTGTGTGTCCCTCCAGGAATTTTTTCATTCAACTATAATTTTTTTAAAATTTTATTAAGTCTGCCATCATTTTCCTTCTTTTATACCTCTCTATGTCAAATCCAAATTAATATAGTAAAAACAAACCCCACTGTGAGGTTCACATTCAAAAAGTCTTGAAGTCAATCTATAAAGGCAAAAAATAATATCAAACATAAAGGAAACTGTTCTTTAGAGACAGTATAAGCTGTGCTCACTGGGCATATATTCATCTTGAAAATCTACACCGCTGTCATCTTGGAGTGTTGTAGAGGAACTGTGAGTATCAAATTCCCAGGTACTGACCCACAAATATGTCATCAGGTCACCTGCGTTCAAAGTTTTGTGTTGCTACTAGATAAGAAAAGGAAAACACCTTAGCTGACCCCCTCTACTTTCACTGTTAAGACTCATAGAATTGAGAGATGAAAGGATCCTAAGTAAGAGCAGCTAATCCAAACTCCTGAAGAACAGAAATCCCCCTAAGGGATCTTCTGCTCACATACTTTCCACAGTGACACCCGGTCACTTGGACCTCCCTTCCATAGCCTTTTGAAATTATTTTCTGAAACTGAGCTGATATCTACCCTCTCTAGTCATAGTTTTGAGATTATCTGCCTGCTTATTTTGTTTACATGATGACCTTTGAATTTGTGATCAGAATCCAGTCATCACTCCTTGTTCTTTCCATTCTGGCTTAACTACCTTCAATCTGAAGATCAATATTACAAGTAGAAGAAGTTTACATTTATCATAAAGGGTTAAAGGATCATTGTAAACTCAGTCAAAATTACAGAGCAACTGGGAGAAATGCATCTCTTTTAATGGCACATTACTGGGTTTCTGATTCTGGATCAATTAATGCTACTGTGGTTAAGAAGATGTCACTTGTATTGGGAAGTAGACTTAATTTTCATTATATTTTGCCATATACTTCTCCACAACAGTGATATTTATGAAAGCAAGCTGGTGGAATCCCAGTTTGGGATTTTCAACTTTTCTCCAGCCCATCAGCAAATATCAGGCACTGACTGTGTTTCAGACTTTCAGACTCCCAGTATTTATACCTCCAGAGTGTGTATGAAGTTGTATATTGACTTCAAAACTACAGTGAGCTTTTCTTGGTCTTGATGTGACCATTGGAT